CGTAAAGATTACACTCCAACGAAGACACCAAATCGTTGCACTATTTTAGTGCAATGAATAGTGTTACATCAGATTTGGTGTAAATTGGCCATTACACTATTTTTAGTATACTATCTCTTTACTTTGATTTAAATATATGTTTGCCATGTAATTGAACTTGTAAAACTAATTATGTTTTGAAAATTATATCATATTGAATAATTTTGTTGAGATCTTCAAAATAAGACCCTTATTGAACATAACATTTATTTTTTATAATATTAACTTTTAGTTATTATTAAAATTAAATATGAAACAAAATGGAAAAAAAATGATAGCACTCCAATCAAATTAAAAGCGATTATAAAAAATAAATTTCACAAAATTGTCAACAAATTATACTCCCTCTATCCCAAAATTATTGTCCAAATTGAGATTTCACTTTTAGTATAATTTGAACTAAAAATGAAAACTCAAACTGGACAATAATTATGGGACGGAGGGAGTAAGATTTTAATTAACCACAAAATAAAATTTAACATAAAACATTAAATATTTAAATCATTTGGTGCATGAAGGTTGGAGAGCAAAGAACTTTAATGTAAAAAATTCTTGGAATATTCTATTTTTACACTAAATTTGGTGTAAATTATAGTGAGATGGTTGGAGATGCTCTTATATTCTTCGAATGAGTTATGCCTTTTAAATTACTTGAAAATTCAGAGTAGTGAAAGGGCCACCAACGTGGAGTATTCAAAACTCACCTTGAGTATGGAACATGTTTAAATCTTCTGTTTTTTTTTTTTTTTGTCTCATTCATTAATGTACCTCTAGTGAATAAATTAGTCACAATTACCGCCTTTCTATCACTTGAAGATTTATACAATTCGGAAGTGATGCAAATTAATCAAGTCCCGAAGACTAGTTAGGAAGGAACAAACGATGAAAAAACAAGGTCGGATCCTCATTACATAGCAGAAATGATAACGACTCTCTTTAAACACGACACTATTTACTTGGCCCAGCTAGCTGATAAAAAGAAAGGAACTAATTCATTTTTTTTTTCTTTTTTTTTTTCCTGAAAGAAAACAAAATTCTTATTCATACTTGATGTAGTAATAGAGATTACAGAGATTTGATTTCTAGCATTTGATCCTTTGCCGGTAGAGGGATAGACGAATGCCGTTGAATGTTGCAACATTTGGTTTTATATGATTTTGCTAACTTCTACTCCATTACTATTTATGTTCCAAAAAAATAGTTCGCACTAAATTTCTACATTTATATGTGAACTATTTATTTGGGAACAGAATCAGTATGTTAATTTAGATGTTCCACTTCAGATAATATGATGTTCCACTTCAGATAATATTGCAAGTCTGCATGCCAAGTTTTGGAGTACATAGTAGATCGATTGGTCCGAAAAAGCATATTCGATCTCGCATCAATTGCATAACTTCTATTATTTGTTTTCTTTTCCTAAAAGAATAGGGGCTTGGTGTGCACTCGGTACTAGGTAACAATTATAAATTCTTGAATTTATCTCCACATTATTATGAATCTACTTATTGGTACTCTACTTTGTACCTCCAGATCCTTTAAAATTTTATGAATCAGGTCAAAAGGGCCCAAGAATATGGGGTGAAAAAAGAAGAGTTTTGTGGATAGGAGCAATATCATGCAGAATTATCGCAATCAGTTGATTGCGCTGAGTGTTAATTAATCAATGATTTCATCCAGAACTATGCATGTTTGAAATCGTGCACCAAAGATTAGTCACATGACATCTTAAAATTTTCAAAGGGGTGAAAAGAAAATTGATGAAGATCTCAAGTTAATCCATGTGATTTCTGATGATAAAGGGACAAAAAAAAATAAAAGGGAGAATCACAAAGGATTAATTAAAATTGACCTAATTATTACATCTATAAAGATGTCAATTAATTTGGAGATTAAAGTCAAAAGCTAATGGATTTTTCTTCCGAGTCTATCACGTAAGCCCTACGTTCGTGGCACTTTGTCACATGGCCGTTGAAATTTGGATCCTACTTGACTTATCTCTTCTTGTTAGTACTTTGTACACTTAATGAAAGGTTTATTAATATTTTTCCCGCATATAGAAAGGTGTTTAACTAATTTTTACCAAAAAATATAAAACTATTCCACACTTAATCAAGACGGTATTCGAACAAATAATAATAATAATAATAAAAATCTAGACGGTATTTGAACCAAAAACTTGCCTACCTATTCGCCCAAAAAACCACTACTACCCTTTCTTGCTATAAATAGAATCTTATTTTGATAAAGCATATATGAAGATTAAAATAATATATTTTCAGCAAAATATGATGATTAAAATGCTTAACAATAATTCGCATACAAACCTAGCTAGCTAGCTAGTTGATCGATAACCTATCACAATTTGCTTTACCATATGAAATGTTCATGAAATGGATCAAAGGTTCTTTTCGGCTTATGTCAACCAAATGTTCCCGATAGTTTCCTCAGATTAATGAAGCGAAATTGAGGGTCTAAAGAGAATTTTCTGATGTGAATCAGACATAATACTGCACCAATGATAAAGGATGTTTGAGCTACACGAAAAATTCAGTCAGCAAATTTGTGCTAAGATTTATAAGAACTGATCAGATTCATGAACTCATGGTTGCTTGTTTTGAGGGCACGTTGTTTCTTGTAATCTCAATTTGTAACATTTTTTTTTCTACATAAGTACGTATTGCATGTGAGTTAATTTGACCCCGATGTACACCAATTCATATATCTCAAAATGCTTTTGCAAAATTTGCCAAATCCTCTGATTAAATTTTTGACAATTTGAAATGTCCTTGAAACTTTGTAACTCAATCGATACTAGACCTTTTCCAATAATTACGAATATAAATATGTTTTCTTTCAAATATATATATATATATATATATATATATATAAACACGACAATAACTTTAAATGGGAAGAACTATATATACCAACCTTCTTAATTATATTTAACAAATTCGGTAGTGTATGCTGTGCTTCACAAATAAATGCAGCTCTAGTCCAATTATTTCAAACTTCAGAGGTCGTTGTCATCCTCATCACCATCACCATAAGTATGTTCTGGTGTACTTAATTTGTGTACAGATTATGAGACAAAGTAGCTGAAATATGGTGGTTGGATTGGGAATCAGATACGCCAAACTGTCAAATTCGCAAATTCTTTGGAGGAAATTAAGAAATTACTGGATAATGAGCAGCTGGAAATAGATAGATGACGAAGCACTGGATCTTAATTAAATTAAGCTAATCAAAATGTTAGTTAAATTTGTTGAAGAAAGAACAAAATATATCATGTTCAAGTTTTTCGAAACGTAATAAAACAAAAACAACCATACATAAACAAAAACAATAATACTTGTTTCGAAAACAAAAACAATTATTTTAGGGTGAAATGAGTATTAGAGAATTAAATTTAACTAAATCTGATCGTATGGATCTAACCTAATCTGCTTTCCTTTCAATTTTTTTTTTTAAAGCTTTAGTCCTATTTTAGAATACGTGTTCTGTCGCCGTGTACGTAATGATTAATGTTACCAACATAATATTAAAATAAAGACAAAATAAAGGGGAAATTCATATGAAATTTCATGTCGGTTGATTGAAAATCTTCTATTATCATTGCTGATAATATTATACTACACCCTTAAATGAGATTTTTTTTTTCGGCCCTTAAAAGAGTTATGACCAACAAACAATGGGAATATTACTTCGATGCCATAATAATTAAATTTATCAAGAATTCCCCTCACAAAAGAAAGAAGCGTAATTTTGCCCCCTTTTTTCTTCTCGAAATAATCAGGACATATTAAGAAAGAAAGAACACTCAAATTATGATTGGAAAAAAAAAAAAAAGAAGAAGAAAAAGAAGAAGAACTAAAAAGGCTATTCGGTCATAAAAAGGATGGAAACAGACGCCAGATTTTGTACCGACAAACACAAGAAATTAAGGGGAAAAAGAAGATGGTAAATTCGTGCACACCAAGAATATATTGCTCCCTCCATCTCTGGGGTTGATTGCTACATTTCCAAATAACTGTCAACATCTACCTAAATTAACTAACTATTTCGTTGAGTTTCTACTTTCTAGAAAGGGTTAAATAAATTAATTGTTAGCCACGAGCCAATGTCAGTCAGTTGATTCATTGGAAGAAAACAATAATAAAAACAAAAGACACAAACATAAATTAAGAACACAAACATGCATAACTATGCTCTCCATACATGTGAGACCTAAGAAGTCTAACATATAGCCGGCCCACTAATTTTCATACTTAGTTAAAGATCATACTAGTATTACTTTATGATGATAAAATGTCCGTCTTTCTCCTGAATTGCTTAATGATAATCTATGCAATTTCTTGATATCGTGCATGCATTGCTACGTAGAATGATGGAAGTTGAAGTACCGCTTCATTTAAAAAAATTTGTGATGAGACGAAATTATTATTGTTTAAGATTTAATAAGGGTAAGAAAATTTGACGAGACGATAAAAATGATAAATCGTATTTACGTTATTGATTGTTCAAATCTTATAGACTGTAATTAAATAAGAAAATCAAAGTTATACAACGAATGGGAGAAGTAAGCCCCACCATGTGCGATTCGATAGTCTCAGCTGTTCTCCTTCCACCATTTTTCAATGAGCCAGTTATTATAGAATTCTCTTCACATTATCCCAATGCAGCATCTTGGTGTGATAAGTTGTTAAGCCAATAATATTACTTATTTCTTCTTCCAATGCTACAGTTCTGTTAGTTCGTTAAACTGTCATAATCACAGTTATCAACACAAACCACCAATCAGAAATTAAAGTAAATATTATAAAAAATAATAACTAAAACAAACTAAATTCCAGCAAATTTTTTGTGCAAGCATGGGAAGATTTTCTCAATTAAAAAACTTCATTCCAAACTTCTATAAATACCACCTAATATGCTCCATTTCATATCCAACCCAAACTCCTCAATCTCTCCAATTATATCAAGTTATCAAGTCCATTAGCTCACGTAATTAGTTGTGCTAAGATAATGGCAACAAAAATCAGATTTCTTCCGACCCCAATTATAGTACTGATATTAACCATTTTTCTCAATTCATCATTAACTCAAAGTGGTCCAACTCCAACGTACAATGTACTAGGTTTCGGGGCGAAATCCGACGGCAGAAGTGATTGCACTAAGTCTTTTCTCAGCGCATGGGCTGCAGCTTGTGCTTCTGTCCAGCCTTCAACGATTTATGTTCCTCCGGGAAGATATTTGATCGGTGCCGTTGAGTTTTCGGGAATAGCTTGCAAGAGCAGTGGCATAACTTTGCGAATTGACGGAACCCTAGTAGCTCCGTCGGATTACAATGTCCTTGGCCGGATTAACACCTGGATTAAGTTTGAGAGAACCAATGGACTTTCAATCTTAGGAGGGACTATTGATGGCCAAGGTGCCGGTCTATGGGCTTGTAAAAACACTCACAAACATTGTCCTAGAGGAACACAGGCAAGTAAAAAATAAAAAATTCCTCTTTTTGTTATCTGTTTTCACCCTTGTTTGATGAGAATATCTGTTTTTAACATATGATTCAGATAACTGACCTCAAATATTGAGTTAAAGGCGTAGTTGATATTGTTGTATTTTAATGACACATGATACAAATTATTTGAAATTGTGTCTCAATGAATTCATGAAATTATTAATAACGCTAAAACTACTCCAGTTTGTGTGGGCTTTGCTTTGATTCAAAAATGTTGAAAGAAGTTTCTATGTGAAGGAAGCATGCATGATTGGTGCAATTTTTCTCCGTATGGATGACTTGATTAACCATGTGCTACCCAATCATCAATCATGAGTTGAAATTAAGTGATCTAATCATGGCATTCTTTGTTTTTTCTTTTCTCTTTCTATGATGCAGTCATTGGGAGTTTACAACTCAAATAATGTATTAGTGAATGGGTTGACTTCATTAAACAGCCAATTTTTCCACATCATAATTGATGGATGCAACAACATCAGGCTGATAGGAATGACTATTTCAGCTCCAGCTGAAAGCCCCAACACTGATGGAATTCATGTTCAATCATCATCCGGAGTCACAATAATGAATTCACATATCGCAACTGGAGATGATTGTATCTCCCTAGGTCCAGGATGTTCTAATGTTTGGGCTGAAAGCATCAATTGTGGCCCTGGCCATGGAATTAGGTACTAGATTTATATTCTTCCCTTTCTAAAATAAGAGTAGTGTTTGTTTCACAATATTCTCTTTTTCTATCCCTTTTTAATCCTTGAATTAAGTATTGTAAAATATTTCTTACATTTTTCTTTTGGTCTCAGCATTGGAAGCTTGGGGTCAAGTGTTCAAGAACCAGGTGTCCAGAATGTAACAGTTCGAACGGTCACATTTACGGGAACACTAAATGGTTTGAGGATCAAAACATGGGCAAAACCTAGCAACGGATTTGTCCGGGGAGTACTATTTCAGCATGCAACAATGGTTAACGTACAAAATCCGATCATCATCGACCAAAACTACTGTGCCAAGGGCACCGGAAGATGCTCCGGTCAAGTATGTCAAAATTTATTAAGTAAAATTTATACCTTATACTGTATTACAGTTATGCTTTTATCTGTGTATATGTTAGACTAAAATTATTAAATTATTACCATAAATTAAATTTCAGGCTTCGGGGGTGAGGATTAGTGATGTAACGTACCAAGATATTCACGGAACATCGGCAACACAAGTGGCGGTGGATTTTGACTGCAGTAAAAAGTATCCATGCAGTGGAATAACCCTTCAAGATGTTCATCTTTCTTACCAGGATCAACCTGCCACTGCTTCTTGTGTCAACGCTGGTGGAACTTCTGCTGGTCTTATTGATCCCAGAAGCTGCTTGTAATATCAGCCAGAAAATCATAGAATGGAATTAAAATAATAATAATAACAATGGAAAGTGCATGCATGTGCTAATAAGAAATACTCTTTCTGTCAACTAAAAAAAATAGTCCGCTTAGTTGAATTTTTGTTTAACAAATGGATTATTTTTTTCAGAACAGTTGAAGTGGAGTATTTTGTAGTCGCATGTCTAGGTTAAAAAAAAAAATGACGAGATTATTAAATGTATCCTTAGAAATCCTTGTAAGAAAAATATTTGCTAGTTAGCTTGAGCCTGTGGCTTGAAATGGCCGTTTTGGTTGAGCCTGGCCTTGCAAAAAGCATTTCATATTTGCATCATTATTGAAGTAAAATGATGAGCAGTTTTAATTAATCTCTGCCTAATTTCTTCCTGCAGCGTAGTAGAGAATAAAATTACTATTATAGCCATATGGGATTTTCTTCAAAACTTTTGCGTATCAGATGTAAAACTCTTTTATATATTTCATCCAACTTAAGCTAACTCATGTAAAATAAAGTGCTATATATATGTTGGGGTATGCTCCGATTTCATTACCAATACAAAAAAAAAAAGAAAAAAAGAAGACCATATACATTTCCAAATAGTTATGAATAAGAGAACTTCACTAATCAAGGAAAAAATTATGACTCAATAATTTCATTCTTAGGCCAAGTGAGATCTATGGCTAACTAAAGGAAGCATATTGTGGATTTAAAGGTTTTTTTTTTTTTTTTTTTTGTCTTAGGCCTACATATTGAATATAAATATAATTGAATTCCAGGCCCAAGTCTACATTCTTAATCTTCTGCAGTTGAATCAGCCCTTTTAAAATTTTATTGCCGAATGCAAGTCCAGGTAGTGATATGTACTATGAAACATTTTTTTATATTGAAATATTATATATCTGGTCGCACAATGTGCGACCCTGACCCAGTATATCTGTAGATCTTAGAAATATTTATATTAAAAAAAAAATATTTTGCATTTGGCCCGATATATTTTAGAAATATTTGAAGAATTTAGAAATGTTTTATAAGTGTGATCATAGAAATGTTTGTATTTCGCAAAAAAAGAAAGTGTATTTGGCCCGGTATATTTTAGAAATGTTTGAATATTTTAGAAATGTTTTGTAAGTGTTACTTATTAAATATAAATAAACTTGATCAAGTATATCTCTTGAAGTAAATGTTAGACAAAATATAAAAGCATCCTAATAAGTTTAAATATTAGTAAGATTATTTATTGATGTTCTCCATTTGTCGTGTCAAATCAATACTTGGTTTTGGAGATTTATAATAGCTTTGTAGTAAGCTTCCTCCGAAGGGTATACATTTAATTGTTGGAACTGTTTCTTCCAAAGGCTTATAGCTAGTAAAATATCAAAAATATGATTTCGAAACTGATAAATTGTTGAAACTGATTGATCACAAATATGAGAATGAAAATTAATATAAATTTGCATAGGTTTTAAGTTATAGTAAAAAAGAACTCACCTCACCATGTCAAATAAAAAAAAAATAAGTAAAAGAGTCCATTAAAAATTGAGAAATTTTTTTTCCTATAGGTAAAAATGATGTATAAAAACACAAATAAACGTAGAAACATCATTCCTTCCCTCTCCACCTCAAATTCATAAAAGGCTTCCCCATAAATTAGTTATAATAAGCGACCTGAACTATTTATATGATGAGTAATTTAAAAAAGTCCGAAAACTAAATCTAAAAAAGTATATTCTTGAAAGTCCGAACACAAAAAAAAAACGCGCTTCATTTGCAATAATAATAATAATAATAATAATAATAATAATAATTGGTCAACTGGGAGTATGAAACAAAATCAAAAGGAATTAAACAAAGAAAAAACACAATTCATAACTGACCATATGCGAAAAAAAACTGAGACTCCATAATTAAAAAAAGAAAAACCACTCTAAATGAATAAAACATAAAAAAGAAATTAAAAAAACCACACTTTGTGACAAAAACCCAATTGATCAATTCAATTCAAACAAAACTAAAATCATACAAAAACTCTAAGCTGACTAACCATATAAGAAATCACATCATAGTACCTGGCAACGGCTATGGTAGCTATAACGGGTAGACGCATAAAAATAATATAAATAATATTATTCTTGAACGAGAAAAACAAAAAATAATAAAAGCCGTACAAATGATCTGTGGATATAAAATTATTTAAAATTTAATATCTGTAACGGCACCACCACAACAGCCGAAAGCAACATCAATGAGAATTTTTTTTCCCTTTGTGTTTATATAAAAAGGTAAAGAGAATATTTTTTGAAGTCGAAATTTTATCTGATTAGGATGTAGTTGATCATCACTAATGAAAAGATTGAACATGCTAATAGGAAAGAAGTATATTTCACCACGTATTCTCAATTGATGATTGATGAGAAATATATATATATATATTTTTTTTGTGGAGAAGGGATTGATTAGAGAGTCGATTGTCATGGAGATAGAGATGAGGATTTGTGTGTTTTATGAAGTTTTGTTTTTTTTTTTTGTTTTGGCGAAAATAGGAAGTGGTGGTGGATTTGGACTGCATTTGACTTTTAAGTCTAAGAAACTGATATGTAAATAAAAATTTATTTTAAAAATATGATATAGAAATGCCATATGGCAAATAGTGGTGCTTTATCTTAATTGTTGTTTTTGTTTCTAATATAGTAAAATATTTATATATATATGTATATATATATTCTTTTCTGTTCTAAAAATAGTTCATATTTAATTTTTAAATTCAAATAAAGTATAAATTACAAAACTGGATATAGATATAATAAGAGTACCATTTGATAATTAGGACGACCACGTAGGGTACTTTTTTTTTATATATATATATAAAATTCATTCCTTATTAATCTAAACCTTATCTTGCGTGAATATCATTGCGCGTCTGCCTCTGTCAGGACAATCTTGACAAATCATTTTCTCATATAATAAATCCTAGCTGTTAGGTTTAAACATGCATGGACTATTCTCATTTTACCCACATTTTTCTTTATGAGCTTTTATCATTCTCTGCTCCAAATTTAGTTTCCAATTAACTTAATGGAATAGAACACATATTTTGATGCGAAAGTAGAATACCTAAAAGCTTGAAAAGTCTGCACCCAAGATATTACCAAGATGAATTTGAAAATTAGAAAACCAAAGCGAAACTATTCTGTTTGACTTGTAACCTTACCTCGTGCCTAGTGGCTAGAGGTTACATACTTTTCATTCAGTGATATCAGGATACATACTTTTCATTCAGTCAAGGTCAGTCAAGGTAGCTTCGGGATTATGGCCAAGTTTTCAACTGTTTGATTTAGTCAACTATTTCCGCAAGGGAACTAGCACGATGATGGATTTGTATAAATACATGCAGATATGAAAGCCAAGGAGATATCACACAACATTAAACAGTATTTTCAGAAAATACACGCAAAAGTACACCCAAAACATCCAAGCCATAGCTATTGAAATTATCATGGCCCCTACTTTGGCTAATGGTGGTAACAATGTTGATCATGAGACCAACCCTGAAATCGTAGAGGAATGGTTTCACGATCACATTCAGCATCATGCAAAACCTAAACTCACCAAACTCCATCTCTTTGTCCACGATAACGTCACCGCCGACAATCCTACATCCGTTCTTATTGCCCCAGCCAACACCAACAATATTGCCTCTATAGCTTTTGGTTCAACCTACGCTATGGATGCTCCGATCACTGTCGATTCAGATCCGAGTTCCGAACTCATCGATCGAGCTCAAGGCACGTTTACCTTTGTAGGTCAAGCTGAACCTGTCCTGTCTATGGCTATCAACTTGGTGTTCACAGAAGGAGAATATAAGGACAGTTCTCTCAGCATTTTAGGGAATAACCCCATATCTCATGACTATAGAGAAATGCCAATATTGGGAGGTACCGGAGTGTTTCGCCTGGCTCGTGGAATTGCCATTGTGGATACCGTTACCGTTGATATTGAAAAGTTGAATGACATTCTTGAGTACCATGCCATTGTTGAACATTACTGATTCCCTGCTGGATTGATCAATGATCTTACCACTCACACTTGTGTTTTAGTTTTACGCATTCATTTATTGGTCGTTCGCAGAAGTCATCTATCTTTGTACGTTATGGTAGCTTGACGAATTTTGTTTGTAATCATCTTCTATATGTTCATGACTAAATTGAAAAATATCCGATTTTAATATATGCTTTATTTTCTTTTATGAAGTCTTGAATTTTTTGAATTTTATTTTATTTTTCTTTGAAATCGGTTCTATTACAGATAAAAAAAAAGAAAAATTCCTGATAAATGATACTGTGATCAGCAGGAATGTTATACAGTTCCTAGACATACATAGAACATCTGAACCACAGAGTTGCTGTGGATTTTGATCCACAAGATGTTTGTAAAATATTTCCAAAACATCCAAAAAAACATGGAAGATATTAAGTGCAAAGTAGACATTAACTAGTAACCGTATCTTCAAAAAAAAAAAAAACTAGTAATCGTTAATTGGGGTGGGAGGGTTGGGTGGAGTGGTTGGGCGATTAGGATGGGAGATGGTTATTACCAGAAAGTTGATAGTTCGATTCTCGTTGGGGCATCTAATTTTTTTATTTTATTTTATATTATTTTATTTTTTTTTAAAAAAAACTAGTAACCATTAATTTGTTCGAGAAAAACAGTCCATCTGTGGAACCGAAGAAGTATTTAACCGTACATCAACATTAAATTATCCATATTCTTTGAAAATCGATGTGGCTTGGAATAGCTGTTTTGGCGTAGCCTGGTATCGCAAGAAGTGAAATGATGGACTCTTTTATTTATGTCTCATCTAATTGTGGATGAGAGCAAGCAGGTAATAAACTAATTAAGAAAGCAATATATGGGATTGATGAATTTCTTTCTTTGATTTCTAGGCCATGAAAACAGTGGAAATTCTTAATATCACCTATATTTGTCGATATATACTTCTGGGCCGGTAGAAACCCAAACCACGGGATCGACGAAAAATCATTTGGACAAGTGTAGCTCAATTCCAAATATATAATATTAAATGATTTATGGATGTTTCGTGCTAACTACAATTAGCAAGAATGATAAAACAAAATTTTCCATTTTGTTTAATCATTAACAAACAATTGGTCAGTTGCCTAGTGGTAAAAATGTACATGATCAAGCATAAGTGGATAAACATTGAAAAAGATTAATGAATAAAGAGGAAACCCAAAAAAAAAAAGTAGCCGAGATGGTCCAAAGCCACATTTTATATCGAGTAAATTGATATTGACTTGTAACCGTGGTGGCTGCGGATAGTATTGCTGTGAACTGATTTTCATTAAAAAAAATCTATAAAACAATTCAATTTATTAATGATTTATTCCATATTTAGGAATTCAAAAGCAGCTTATTAAGGTAAAAATGACCAAGAAAAGTCCCAAAAAGGAATGGTCGAAATGACACATATCACACGTGCTTCTCTTCCGGTCAAGGTAGCTTAGGGATAATGCCCAAGTTTTCACCTTTGAACGACGTTACCATATTTTGTATTAGGGTTAGTAAATGTCTTGTATTTACTGTATTTACGGTATCTCTTTTATCGGCTGTAACTGTATATATTAAACCCTAACTGAATGAGACCTGAGGAGAAGGATGACCGAGACGTTGGTGCCACAGATCAAAGGAAGAAACACCAGCAGGTGTAACTTGAGCAGCAATCTCCACGGCCCGGAAGAAATATAACCCTTCTCGTTGCTCACCCGCTCCAATCAGCGTCCTCAAAGCGAGGTCCTGTATAATACAAAAATCAAGGGTGAAATGAGCAACATATCCGGAATCCCGTAACAGCTGTGAAACAGAAATCAAATGACACAACAAAGTGGGAACATAAAGTACATTAAACAGCGTGATAGTGCTGCTGAGAATAACAGTGCCAGCCTGAGTGGCCCAAGTGTGTTGACCATTAGGCAAACGGACCGAGACAGCAGGAATAGCACGAATATCCGTAAAAAATTCCAAACGACCAGTCATATGTCTAGTTGCACCGGAATCATACATCCACAATGTAGACCAAGACATACCAAAAAGCGAGTCTGTCGAAACAGGCTTAGACGATTGCAACAGTTGGAGTAAGGTCTGCCACTGATTATTAACTTTATTGAGGCGAGGCATGGGATCTTGCGCCAGAATGTTGGAGCGAGCCGTTCCATAGGCAGAATCATCCAAACCGAGAAGAAATTGATGAATTTTCTCAGTTTCAAGCCGTTGAGCGGCAATGACAGGAAGGTTGCACGTACATTTGCCGCACGAACACGCCAGAAATTGATCGTACGTGGCCAAAGCTTCCCAAATCTTCTTCTACCGGCCATAATAGGTAGCCATGGACAGACCTTTCTGTTTGCACGCCATCAAATCCGCCTTCAACTGTTGAATCTTCGGACCATTCACCCGGGAGAGACGTTCCTTGATGTCGGCCCACAAATCGGCAGCAACCTCTATGTGAGTGAGGGTCGAACGAAAGGAAGGTTCAACAGAGTTCATGATCCAGGAAACAATCAAGGAATTGATCGTCCACCAATCTTCGAATTCTGGGGATGCCGGCGCCGGTTCAGGAATTGAGCCATCCACAAAGCCGTATTTCTTTCTGGCCCGTAACACAGTCTTGACGGCGCTGCACCATTCATCGTAATTGTGCTCGCCTTGAAGCTGAACTTGCGTGATGGATTGACCCGGCTGATCACTGCCGGAGATATCATACGGAGAGATCGTTCGACGACGAGAGAAATCATCGGTGTGTGGACGATCACGGCCATCCTCATCCGTCGACAGAGAGATGGACTTGCTGGACTGAGGAGGATCGGAGGGATGCGTCATGCCAGCAAACGCAGAAGAATTTGCAACAGGAAGAACAAGGTGGCGATTGATACCATAAAGGAATTCAAACGCGGCGGCCAAAGAAGAAATATGAATTGGCTCCTGTTCTGTTTCTCATTCAGTTAGAGTTTAATATATACAGTTACAGCCGATAAAAGAGATACCGTAAATACAGTAAATACAAGACATTTACTAACCCTAATACAAAATATGGTAACGTCGTTCAACCTTTTTTATTCATTCAACTATTTCCACTTCAAACAGGAAATTAAACTAGTATGGTTCTGAATTTGCATAAATAGAGAGGTTTAAGGCTATGGAGATATCAGTGATCAATCTTCAACCTTATTTTCATCAAACACTTCATACAATACAAAAAAAAAAAAAAACAAATTCAACCAAAAGTTATTGAAATCATCATCATGGCTCCATCTTTAGCTAATGCTAGAAAGGTTGATAACGCGAGCAAGCCTCAAGTGATAGAGAAATTGTTTCATGAGAACATTGAGCATCATGCAAAACCAAAGATAACCAAATTCCATTTCTTTGTCCATGATAATGTTACAGCCGATCATCCGACTTCTCTTCTTATTGCCCCATCTAACACCAACAATAGAGCATCGATTGCTTTTGGATCAACCTATGCTATGGATGTTCCGATAACTATGGATGCTCCGATTCAGATCCTAATTCCAAACTTATTGGTCGAGCTCAGGGCATGTTTACCTGGGTAGGTCAAACTGAACCTGTCTTGTCTATGGCCATAAATTTGGTGTTCACAGAAAGAGATTGTAAAAGCAGTTCTCTAAGTGTTCTTCGAAACATTCCCATATCTCATGAGTTTAGAGAAATGCCAATATTAGGGGGTACCGAAATTTTTCGCTTGGCTCGTGGAATTGCAACCGTAAATACCGTGACAGTTGATTTTGCAAAACTAAACGATATTTTGGAGTACCATGTTGTTATCCAACATTATTGATTGTTTGATCAGTTCTGGGTTAGCTAGTCACAGCTGGCTTTTATGTTTGTTTATTTATATTTCCTGTCTCTCAAAATTATATGTCTATTTTTTATTTTCACTTGTAATTCAATTTGTAGTAAAAATATAAATTTAGACAATAATGTTGGGACGCAGAGATTATTTGTTAAATTTTGACGGTTACATGTTTGTAATAGTTATATGATGAAGTAAATTTGTGATCTTCTTTGATATGTAACAGAATAAATAAAAGAATTTTCGATTAGTTTGAATATACACTTTGGCTATAATAGCGTTTCTCAGTTTAAATTAGTGTTGACAAGAGCTAAATGTGAATCTATTTGGTGTTTGCTCCGGAGTCCGACTTTAGAAAGATGATTTCACAGCCATTTTAATATATTTTTTTGGTACAAAGCTATTTTCAAGTTTTAAATAGAACTAGAAAATGTGCGCTCGACCAAAACAGTGGTTAATTAAGGGTCAAGTCTTTTCCTCTGTGATGCTTTATTTTTGAGTAACTACATAATTCATCAGTATGTTGTTATTAAAACTAAATTATACTAAGGATGTTAATTTTACACATTTTATTTCTGGTGTGGGTAAGTTTTTCATTTCAACCTGTTTTATTTCTAGTTGTTTACTTGCTGGAAATTTCTAACAAAATAGCATCATCCATAATCAATCAACATCATCATTTAGGAAAACATGAATAATCGAAAAACAGGAGCAGAATTGATTAGAAGAACGAAATCTATGGTTGGCTTCAAGAAGAAGTTTTATGTATTGATGAATATTCATAATATGTCGATTGTGTTGGGCCTATTCCCCTCCAATTGGGCCAGCAAAAAGAAGAAATAAAACCAAACCTTATTGGCTTTGGTTTTGATTTTCTTGACTGGGAAAACAAACATAATTCCATTGGGTTTTGGTTTCGTTTTTTAGTGCTTATAAAAGCAAGGCTTCCATGCACAATTTTGGTGTGAGTTTTGCGCGTGATTTTGACAAGCAAATTTGTGGTAGCCGCACGTTATTTTTGTGCGAGAGAAAAGAGAAGAGAAAAGTTAGTTCTGGAATTTTTGGTGTTGCGAGAAGAAAGTGTTTCACTTTAAAGCTTTGATCGGGTGACGAAACAGAGTCAGTTATTGGTACAAGTTTACATGTGTGTTCCTCTCAACAAGATCTATAAATCCTCCGGTTTAGTTTTCAGTTTACTCTTTTGGTGAGATCCTTCCAGTCCTACTTTGTAAAAGGTGTGTGTGTGTGGAAGAGTATTGTTGTAATCCACCTTTGGGTGAAGTCCTGTGTATCCACCGGTTGGTGAAGACTGTTTTTCATTATTGTGATAATGGAGATTCGACTGTGGTTGCAGTCCCATGATTTTTTTCGATTTGAGTTTTCACGTAAATTCGTGTGTCTACTTTATTTTATCAGTTCTTGAATTATTTTGTTTGTTTGGTTGTCCTATTTTATTGGTAGTAAGAAAAGAGATTTTCTTGAGAATCGTTTCCGCTGGTTTGTTGTATTTATACCCTTCCCGCCATAACAGTGGTATCAGAGCTATGGTTCGATAGTTGAGGTGTGACATCAATAAAATGGAAGAGTCGTCAGGTATTGGTACGATGATTAAATTGACTTCATCCAATTATCATATGTGGAAGCCTAGAATGGAAGATTTGTTGTATTGCAAAGATTTGTTTGATCCTGTTCTAGGGGATGAAGGTAGGCCAAGTGATATGACTGATAAAAAGTGGGCCAGGAAAACTGTTGGTAATATTTGACAGTGTATTTATCAAAGTATGTTTCATCACTTTCCGGGAGAAACAAAAGCTGATGAACTTTGGGAGCAAATACGCTGAAACAGATTACCAGGTTAAGGTACAAAGTGATGCTAGAATGAATGAGCACTTGAGTTTGTTTCAGGGGTTTTTAAACCAGGCAGTGAATGTAGGTTTAAAGAGTGATGATGAGGTGCAGGCTTTGTTATTGTTTAGTTCTCTTCAAGACAGTTGGGACACTTTGGTAGTGTCAATCAGTAATTCAACCCAGGATGGTGTCTTGACCTTGGATCAGGTCAAAGAGGCTTTGATGAATGAAGAAGTCAGAAGAAAAGAGCAGAGTATTGAGTCTGAGTCACAGGCTCTAGTGACAGAAAAGTCAGATAGAAAAGAGAGAAGTAAAAGCAGAGGGCCACGTGATCAGAATGACAAGTCCAGGGGACGGTCTAAATCCAAGAAAGATGTTGTGTGCTACCATTGTCAAGGAAATGGGAACTTTAAGAGAGACTGCAGGGTTCTCAAGAGAGAAATAGCAGCGAGAAAAGGTAAAGGCAAGAAGGATGAATCAAGTGATGATGACACTACTGTAGTAATAACTACCAATAATGTATTTGTGTACTGTGATGATGATAGAATTAATTTTGCGAGTCACGACAGTGATTGGTTCGGTGATTTAGGCGCGTCTTATCATGTGACGCCTCACAGACACTTCTTTACCTCTTACACATCTGGAGATTTTGGTTGTGTAAGAACGGGCAATCAAACCTCATGCGATGTTGTCGGCATGGAAGAAGTATCAAATTGGTAACGAATACAGGCTGTACTCTTGTCTTGAAGAATGTCAGACATGTTCCAGATATGCATCTGAACCTTATTTCCATTGGAAAACTTGATGACGAGGGTTGTCATAGCACTGAAGATGGTGGCCGTTAGACAATTACCAGAGGGAATCTTGTTATTGCTAGAGGAAAGAAGTTGAATTCTTTGTATGTGTTGAATGCAAAGTTAAAGAATGGAGAGGTGAATGCAACTCACAATGCTTCCATTGATCTCTGGCACAGAAGGCTTGGACACATTAGTGTCAAGGGGCTCCAGATTCTTGGTAAGAAGCAATTTCTCCCTGAGGTGAAAGGTACTGCTCTAGAACCTCGTGTTGACTGTATCTATGGTAAACAACATAGGGTTTCCTTTCAAAATTCTCCTCCATCTAGAAAGTCCAGTCCTCTAGAGTTAGTTCATGTAGATGTTTGTTACATGAAAGATAGGTCATTGGGTGGAGCATTGTACTTTGTTACTTTCATTGATGACTATGCTCGAAAGGTTTGGTGTTTTTCTTTGAAATCTAAAGATCAGGTATTAGATGTGTTCAAAGACTTTCACCTTAGAGTTGAATGAGAGACTGGAAAGAAGTTGAAGTGTGTTCGAGCAGATAATGGTGGTGAGTATAGGGGTCCGTTTGAGAAGTATTGCCGAGACCATGGCATTAAACTTCAGAAGAGTGTTCCGAAGACTCCACAATAGAATGGCGTGACAGAAAGAATGAACAGAACTATTACCGAAAAGGTTAGGTGTATGCTCTTGAATGCAAAGCTACCTAAATCTTTTTGGGGTGAAGCCATGCAGACAGTAGTTGATTTGATCAATCTATCTCCCCCAGTTCTGTTGGATGGTGATCTACCACAACGAGTTTGAACATGGAAAGATGTCTCATTTGGACATTTGCGAGTTTTTGGTCGTGCCTTTGTTCATATTCCCAAAGACGAAAGGTCGAAGCTTGATGGAAAATCCAAGCAGTGTATATTCTTGGGGTATGGCAATGATGATTTTGGGTACAGACTTTGGGTTCCTGTAGAGAAGAAAGTTTTCAGAAGCAGAGATGTGATCTTCTTTGAAGACCAGACCATTGATGATATGGGAAAGGACGAGATGCCAAAATCTTCACCTGAGATTCCTGTTGATCTAGATCCAGTTCCTCCACAATCAGATGATTCTCCTGAAAGGGGAGCTGAGACAAAGCAGGATGGTGAGTTTGATGATGACCAGACCATGGCGGGTGACCTTGATGGTCAGAAGTCTACTTCTGGATACTTGATGACTTATGGAGGGGGAGCAGTTTCATGGCAGAGTAGGTTGCAGAAGTGTGTTGCTTTGTCTACTACAGGGGCAGAGTTTATCACAACTACTGAATCTTGTAACGAAGCACTTTGGTTGTAAAAGTTTCTACAAGAGCTTGGCATGAAGTAAGAGAGGTTTGTGGTGTATTGTGATAGTCAGAGCGCTATTCACTTAGCTAGGAATTCCACATATCATTCGTGGTCTAAACATATTGATGTGCGATATCATTGGATTCGGGATGTGTTAGAGTCCAAGGCGTTGTTTCTTTAGAAGATTCATACGGATGTCAACAGTGCCGATATGTTGATGAAGAGTGTAAGTAGAGACAAATTCATGTTTTGTAGAAAGGAAGCCGGTTGGATTTTACCCCCCAATTGAGCTGAAGGGGGAGATTGTTGGGCCTATTGCCCTCCAATTGGGCCAGCAAAAAGAAGAAATAAAACCAAGCCTTATTGGCTTTGGTTTTGGTTTTCTTGACCGGGGAAACAAACCCAATTCCATTGGGTTTTGGTTTTGGTTTTTAGTGCTTATAAAAGCAAGGCTTCAATGCACGATTTTTGTGTGATTTTTGCGCGTGATTTTGACAAGCAAATTTGGAGCAGCCGCACATTATTTTTGTGCGAGAGAAAAAAGAAGAGAAAAGCTAGTTTTGGGATTTTTTGGTATTGCGAGAAGAAAGTGTTTCACTTTAAGGCTTTGATCGAGTGATGAAACAGAGTCAGTTATTGGTGCAAGTTTGCATGTGTGTTCCTCTCAACAGATCTACAAATCTTCCGGTCTAGTTTTCAGTTTAGCTCTCTTTTGGTGAGATCCTTCCAGTCCTACTTTGTGATGGGTGTGTGTGTGGAAGAGTATTGTTGTCATCCACCTTTGGGTGAAGTCCTATGTATCCACAGGTTGGTGAAGATTGTTTCCCAATATTGTGATGGTGGAGTTTTGACTGTGATTACAATCCATGGTTTTTCCCGATTTGGATTCCACGTAAATTCGTGTTTCTACTTTATTTTATCAGTTCTTGAATTATTTTGCTTGTTTGGTTGTCCTATTTTATTGGTAATAGGAAAGAAGATTTTCTTGGGAATCGTTTTTGCTGGTTTGTTGTGTTTATACCCTTTCCGCCACAACTGATTGTTCTATGCAAAAGCAACTGCTAGCTATATGTAGAATTCATCTAAAAACAGTAAATTTAATTCTTTATAGACACAAAACTAGCACTTCTAATCTAATGGCTAATATTCTTGCATATACATTAAAACTGATCATTAGATCAAGTTATCTCACCAAACACCAGGATTGAGAGTTTTTGTCCACAAAAATGCTCCACAAACCTGAGAGGACAGAACTAGGCATCGGCAGGAGGAGATGCCTGAAATAGGCATGTCGGATTCAACAAATCCGATTTTTACAAAAAACGGATTGCTGAAATCTGATTTTGTTTGGATTAGAAACTAATCATTTCTTAATGATATTTTGGCATTAAATTGGATTTCACGAATCTGATTTTGGAACAATAAAATATTATTTTAAAAAAGTAATTTTAAAATACTTGAGGAAATTAAAAAGAATATATAAAGCGGAATCCGAAAATCCGCCTTTACTAAAATCTGATTTTGTGAATTCGATTTCTCCTTGGAACCCTAAATCGGATTTTGCGATTCTGATTTTAAATAGAACAGTTAAAAAAAATGGACTTCATTTTAACCAGTTCAAACCAATATCAACAGCAGGAAACCAGATTTTACCAAAAAAAATCAACACAAAATAGCACAAAACGAAAGCACATTCTATTTCAGACATGACAGTTGTCTTAAAAACATAAAAGAGTTAAAAATTCAAACTCCAAACCCTAAACAAGTTCAAATTATAATGAAAAATCCAAACCCTAAACAAGTTCGAATTAAAAGGCCAAATGTTGCACTTCCAATCGAATTCAAGGCGGAGTATACAATTTGATTTTTGTATGCTTCCTACAGCCCATCGCTCATGCTTTCGTTTTTTTGGGAGGATTCTTTAGGAGGGGGTGTAGCCTCTTCTTCGCTCTCTTCCTTTCTTTCTTTGTCGCTCTTTTCCTCCTCTTGTCCTTCTTCCTCATCGACTATCATAGAGTCACGATATGGAACAATTCTCCGATCCGTGATTGATTGGCCATAGTCGGCTTTTAAGGGTTGAGGTATACGTATCTTCCTTCCACCTCCAATGTTCTTTTGGGGACCTTTCTTTTGAGGGGGTTGCGGTTGTTGAGATAGAGTCAGTTGACTTTCAACAAGTCTCTGACTAGACATCGTGCTCAAAGCATCAGGACCAATAGTGGAGGCAGTGAAGGAGTCACTGAGTACCTTGTCTATCATCGTATTAAGGGGACTGTCTCTTGTCGGGTAATTGGTACGATACTCATCAATAGTGTGATAAATATTGTTCAGGATATCAGCCTACAAAAATGAAATTTTAAATTAATTTTGATTAAATTGGTTATTAGTAATAAAACTGGAATACATATAAGTAATTAATTTAAAAATACTTACATATAATATTCGTGTTCTGAAGTGGACTGATAGCCTTGACTCCTGTTCCCGTACTTTTCTAGATCGCTGATGAGTATCACAGTTTTCTTTTGAAACTAAGGGAGGTAGAGGTAGGCCCTCGGTTACTTCTTCACCTTCTACCACATAAGATCTCCTATTATCCCAATGAGGGTTGACAACACTATGGTGGGCTTTCCATTCCATGCCTAATTTCCCAATTGCTTTACATTCTTTGTGTATAGCCTTCCAAACTTGAATGTCACAATGGATTCGAGACTCATATTGCCAACAATTAAACTAACGCAAAATTCGATTGGGCTCATGAGGTTCCCTAATGGAGTGGAAGAAAATCTAAGACCTCGTTTTCCAAACATGACTGCCTTGTTTATGAAAATCGGGAAGTTTCTCGAGGAAAGGCATGTAAGGCAGCCACATAAACTGCATAAAATGAAAAACAATCGGCAGGGTTAGTTTAGATTAAAAAATCCACAAAAAAAATAAAATTAAAAAAATCATACTTGTCAATGAGAATAAAAAAAAACTTACATCATCATCCCATACAAGGGCTAACTGATCCCTGATCAAAGGTAAACAATCCTTGGGGGCATTTGCATAAGAGAGCGGGCAATTTCACCTATTTGGGCACAAAATACATGTAGTTACTCATAGGAAATAGGAAAAAAAAATTAAAAGATAAATGTAAGAATTCATTACATGCAAATGCTTTACCTATGAGCTAATGGAGCTTCCGGGGTCCATAATAGAAGTAAAAGGCACGATGTTCCGGATGGGTTGAATCCTTGGAATATGCTCCCAAGCGCAAACTAGTAACAATTAATGACACTAAATTTAAAAATATTTGATAACAATAGATAAAATCAGAAAAAGAAACAAAAAAAAAAAAAACCACCAAAGCATACCTGCGCCAATACACTGCAACCGGTCATGTTATTATGGCCAAATTCAGATGCCTTACACAGGCCATTATACAGATACGCCAAGAATGCAGAACCCCAACTAAGCTAACCACATGACTCTAAATCCTAAAGTTGTATCAAATGGTACAGAGGTATCATGTTCCCACTTTTATCCGTGAACAAGAAGGAAGCCTTTGAATATAGAATAAATGCCCGAGCCCTCTTGTTGTAAGCTTCATCATCATTAGGTAAGCTTTTTGGAAGTGCACGTTTTATCTCATCTTCAAGGAATTGCACATATATCTTATTACCTTTGAAATCAGAAGACTTAGGTATAAAATTGCACATTTTGTCGCAATATTCAATCCATTTAGCCCTATCAAAACCATAGGTTCTCCCCAAGACGGCCGGACCATCCACTGGTAACCCAAACAACACATCAACATCCTGGAGTGTGATTGTGGCCTCGCCAAAATAGAAGTGGAACGTGTGGGTCTCAGGACGCCACTGTTTCACTAAGGCAGTTGTTACAACATGGTCAAGGGTAATTTCTCCAACTTTCATGATTCCCCCAAAACCGGCTCGGCTAATCCTATCTATTACAGATTGAGGGACATCTTTTAGGGCTGTCCATAATTGGTGATCAAATCTCCTACATTTTAACCTAATATTTGAAGCTTTATCTTCAAAGACAGCTTTAGACCTATGCTTATCTTAAAAATATAACAAGTCTTTTTTAACCAGACCCGGATAAAGATATTTGCGAGTCTGTTGCGAGGGTGAACTCGCCATATTCCTACACAATTTATAACCATCATTTGTGCTATACCAATTATAACACAAACCAACTATAACAGATTAATAAAGGCATTGAACTTTTAAGTTAAAACAAGTCTAGGCCTAGCTACAATAGTTTCACATACAAGGAAATCAACAGAGCAACCTCGATTTTGCAGCATGATCGATTCAACCAAAGCAATATCAATATTTGTTCATAATAAGGCAATAATTTAATACTAAACACAAAAGGTGTCCTAAAGTATCAAACCACAACCGGCCAACAAGGTGTCCTAAAATATCAGACAACTTGGTTAACAATTGGCAACCACACTTAATGAATAATCAGGAATGAAATCAAAATAGGAATATATTACGGGCAAACATCAAAGGTCCACCCACATGGTGAACAACACATCATATTCATGATTCATTAAGCACATCAAAATCAATTTTTTTCCAGTAACTACTCCTATAGCAACATTGCAAGGGTTAATCAATCATTTCGAAATAGTTTGAATTGTTATACATAAAAAATGCTAATTAATAAAGGAACAAAAAAAATTAAAAACAAAAAAACAACAATTACCTTAGTTCTTCAATTTGAATCTGAATCAACGAGGGGAAGGACACGCCGTGGCTTTGATTGGCATTGCAAAGTCAACTAGGGGAAGGAAACGTCGGGAAAACAAAGGATTCGCTGGTGGGGTGAGCTTTGATTTGGGACTTGAGCGAGTTGGAGTCGCCGGTTTGGGGGTGGGTGTTTGATAACATAAAAATATATATACTTTTAGCAGGCATTTCTTACTCATTTCTACTTATAATTAAGTGTTAATTAGTTAGGATTAGTTTACTTTTGGGGTAATTTTGCAGTTCAGGTATCTTGGAGGGCCAATGTGGAAAATTAGCATAGAAGAGGGCCAAATTGCACAAAAGGGCATCAAAATGGACTGCAATGGAAGCTGATGGAAATTGAGCTGTTGGAGGATCAATTAGAGCTAAAGAAAGTGGAGAAATCCTTGCTGTGAAAAGAAGATTGATAGCAGATGGATTCAAGTGGAAGACTCTGCAGTAGCTACCTCAATAAAGGAAGAAGAAATGGCAGCTGCTCTGCTGCCAAGTTACTGCTGCAGTTTCTGTTGCTGCTGTCAATCAGGAAAAGCCAAGGCTGAATTCTTGCTGCCAAAGGAAGGAATTGCTTCGCATTCACTGCAAGTTATAGCTGCTGCAAGTTGAAGAAGAGAAAGAGGGAGAATATGTGGAAAACAACAGCTACAACCTGCGACTTACCTCCTGTGACTGCTGCCGTTGAATTGACGGATTGGCTGCTGCAGTCAGGTGAGAAATGGTGTTGTAAGTGATCACAAGAAACAAGGAAGGAAAAGGAAGAAAGATTTAGGCTGAATTGAGGGCTGAAACACAATGATGGAGGGAAGCATGCTGCTGATGCAGCTGCTTGCTACTGTTGCTAGTTGATCTGCTGCGGGTTAAAGAATGAAGAAATAGAGATTTGTGGCTGAAAATTGGAGAAACTGTGCCGGAAAGGAAGACTAAAAGAAGAAGGCAATGATGAGAGGAAGGTGGCTGATTGCAGTTGAAGAGACAAAGCGGCCAAAGCGAAGACTAGGCAAGTTGATGAATAAACAAACCTCTACTGTTGCAAGTTGCTCTCTCACCTTTCTGCAAAGAAGAAGGCCAGAGCCCAACCAATCCAAACTTCTCCAAATCTCTATAAATAGTCAGCCAGTAGTAGTTAGAAAAGTAATAGATTGGGTAGTTAGATTTAGTCACAAAGACAGTAGTTAGGTAGTTAGTTAGTAGGTTAGAAACAGGGTAGTAGCAGGAACAAGGAGTCAGACTGTCACTTTGTCAAGTGGCGAACGCCATTTGCCATACTGAGTAGACAAAACTGTACTTGCTACCATCTTCCCTTTCTTTCCTCTGTTAAGGGTTCAATCCCTACTATCTTTATGTGAAGGTTTTGATTCAGTTTCCTTGATGAGGTGTTGTACCGAGATAAGTGATTTAATTAACCTTTTAATTAACTTGATCACTTACATAAATGTGCTTGCATGGTTATGAAGATTTGGAAGGGGGAGCATAACTTTAGAACTGCTTAATCTAGTCCATGACAATGGAGGAAATCTACCATGCGGGTCCAAACATCAACGGAAGTTTGGTGAATGGAATAGGCGATCAAAGAGGACTTAAGAACTCAATGGCTTAGATTAATGAACTACTCTAATTAGAAGGTAGGAGATTTGGATAATATAGGACTCTTTATTCTGTCTGGAAGGAATTATGAAGAATGTAAGTACCTGATCGAACAACTAATCATACACTACAGGAATATTTGAATCAAAACTGGATCATAAAGGTAGGAAGGTGATTGACCCTTCTGCCTCTTCACTCTGTCAAGTGACTATTCCCACTCTCCCAAGTGACAATCTGTTCAACTCATTTTTTTTCCTTTCTGCACTTTAATCAGATTTTGACCGGTTGACTTCCGTCTCTGTGGAACGACCTTACTTACCACTAGCTAATAGTTTTAAGTATGTTTATAAATATTTCTTTTGGGAAGTGGTTCAACGACAAGCCTGCTCCACCAGGGTTGGAGTCGCCGGATTGGGGGTGGGGAGTTGGAGTTGCCGGGGTGAGCTTCAATGTGACTCATATCTGGGAAAGGAGGCTTCGATTTGGACGAGTGAAGACATAGAGGAGTTGTGGGTTTGGAGGTGGGGGTTGGAGTCGCCGGATTGGGGTGAATCGGCGGCTAGGGTTCGGCCTCTGATTTGGGGGAAATTCTAGGTTATGTCACCGGGTTATCGGATTGGGGTCGCGGGTCGAAGGGAGAAGAATAAAATGAAGTCTAGGGTTTAAGTCAACATATATATATTAGACATGAAATCGGATTCGCGAAATCCAACTTCTAGTAATTGAATTCTTAAATTCCAAATAAAACTGGGAGTTTGGCCAAAATATCCCAATTTTCGTTGAAATCCGACTTCTGGTGGAAATCCGATCCGTTTTTTAATCTTAGTCGGATTTCGCAGATCCAATTTTAAACCCTAGTCAGATTTCATAGATCGGATTTATGTGAAGTTCACAAACAAAAAAAATCACCATCGTGTGCAGCATTTCATGTTTTTATAAAGTGCAAACAACAATAAATAACAATTTCAAACTAATTTGATCTCCGTAGAATAGGCCGCAACAATCTCCGAATTAGAACACAAAGTTTAAAGGTTGACAATAACGAATACAACGAAAACAACCTCAATAACTTGTCCAAATAATTTATGAATAGTCACCGATGACACCATCTGCATCCCAATTGATATTGATTCTGGTTCTATCAACTCGACCATGTGATTTTGGTTACTCAGTTGTAAAATGATCTTGGGAGCCAGATCGAGTACATTCTCCTCGTGCTTTGGGTCCCTTTTAATCCATTTGCATTTTGAACCTCTTTTTTTGCTTTCGGCCTGGTCTAGCACTCATGACGATCCG